ATTTGGTTTAATAGTGTTGAGTTGTGTAAGTGTTTTATATATTTTAGATATTGAACCCTTATGAAATAAATCATTATATATATCTTCTCCCATTCAGCAGGTTTTCTTTTCCTTTTGTTGATGGTTTCCTGCATTGTGCAAAAGCTTTTTTGTGTGTTAAGTCCCAATAGTTTATTCTTGCTTTTGTTTCCCTTGCTTTAGGAGACATATCTAGAAAAATGTTGCTGTGGCTGCAGAGAAATTGCTGCCTATTTTCTTTTAGGAGTTTTGTAGGTTTAGGTCTCACATTTAGGTCTTTAATCCATTTTAAGTTAGTTTTTGTGTATAGTGTGAGAAAGTGGTCCCATTTCATTATTTTTCATGTAGCTGTGCAGTTTTCCCAGCCCTATTTATTGAAGAGTCTATCGTTTTGCCATTATGTATTCTTATGTCCTGTGTAGATTAATTGGCCCTATTAGCGTGGGTTTATTTCTAGGCTTTCTATTTTGTTCTTTTGATCTATGTGTCTATTTTGGTGCCAGTACCATATTGTTTTTATTACTACAGCTACTGTGGTTTAGCTTGAAATCTGGGATTATGATACCTCCAGCTTTGTTCTTACTCAAGATTGCTCAGCTCTTTGGGGTCTTTTGTGATTCCATACAAACTTTGGAATTATTCTAGTTCTCTGAAAAATGAATGCTATTGGCATTTGATAGGGATTGCATTGAATCTGTTGATGGCTTTGGGCAGTATGGACATGGTAACAATGTTAAGCCTTCATTCCATGAGCATGGAATATCTTTCCAATTGTTTGTTTCATCTTCAATTTTTTTCAACAGTGTTTTCATAGTTTGCAGAGTAAAGGTCTTTCACCTCCTTGATTAAATCTACTCCTGGTGTTTTATTCTTTTTGGTATAATTATAAATGGAATTGTTTTCTTCATTTCTCTTTCTGCTAAATTGTTACTAGTTTATAGGAACACAACTGATTCCTGAGTGTTAATTTTGTATCTTGCAACTTTACTGAATTCATCTATTACTTGGAATAGTTTTTTGGTGGAGTCTTTCAAGGTTTTCTATGTATAGTATCACATGTTTTCTGCAAATAGTGATGGTGTAACTTCTTCCTTACCAGTTTGGATGCCTTTTATGTCTTTTTCTTGTCTGGCTGCTATGGCTGGGACGTCCAGTACAATGGTGAATAAAAGCACTGAGCATGGACATCCCTGTCTTTTTCCTGATCTTAGAGGAAAAGCTCTGTTTTTCACCTTTGAGTATGATGTTAGCTTTGGGTTTGTTATGTGTGGTCTTTATTATTTTGAGGTATGTTCCCTCTAAACCCACTTTGTTGAAGGTTTTTATCATGAACAAATGTTGAATTTTGTCAAATGATGTTTCTGCATCTGTTGAGATGATCATGTGGTTTTTACCCTTCATTTTGTTAGTGTGGTGTATCATGTTGATTGCTTTGCAGATGTTGAACCATCTTTGCATCCCCAGAACAAATCCCAGTTGATGGTGGTAAGTGATCCTTTTAATGTATTTGAATGCAGTTTACTAATATTTTGCATCTGTGTTCATTGGTGATATTGGTCTGCAGTTGTTTCTTGGTTTCTTTAGTAGTGTGTTTGGTGTTGGTGTCAGAATGATGCTGGACTTTTAGAATGTATTTGGAAACTATCCTTCTATTTTTTGGAATAGTGTGAGGAGAACAAGTGTTAACTCTTCTGTAAGTATGTGGTAGAATTCATCTGTGAATTCATCTGGTCCTGGTCTTTGTGTTTTGGGAGTTTTTTGATTACCAATTCAATTTCATTGTTAATAATTGGTATGTGTTCAGATTTTCTGTTTCTTTTGATTCAGTTTTGGAAGATTGGAAGTTTCTGGAAACATCTATTTCTTCTAGGTTGTCCAGCTTGTTGGCATATAATTTTTTGTAGTAGTCTCTTATAATTCCTTATATTTCTGTGGTATTGGTTGTTACTTCTCCCCTTTCATTTCTGATTTTGTTTATTTGGATGTTCTCTTTTTTGTTTGTTTGTTTTTGGGTTTTTTTTTTTGTTTTGTTTTTGATGAGTCTAGCTAAAGTTTTGTAAGCTTTATGTTTTCAGAGAACCAGCTCTAGGTTTCATTGATCTTTCCTTTTGGCCTCCATTTCATTTTTATTTCCATTCTGATCTTTATTACTTCATTCCTTGTACTAAGTTTGGGATTTGTTTGTTCTTCTCTTTTCAGTCTCTTTGGTTATAAGGTTAGATTGTTTATTTGAGATTTTCCTTATTTCTTGAGGTAGGCCTGTATCCATATAAATTTCTTTTCTTAGAACTGCTCTTGCTGTGTCCCCAGGATTTTGGATCATTATGTTTTCATTTCCATTGGGCTCCATGTATTTTTTATTTCCTCTTTGATTTCTTCATTGACCCATTAGTTGTTTAGTAGCATGTTGTTTAGCTGCCACGTGTTTGTGCTTTTTCCAGTTTTTTTTTTCCTTGTAATTGATACCTAGTTTCATACTGTCGTTGAAAATGATACTTGATATGATTTCAGTCTTCTTAAATTTATTGAGACTTGTTTTGTGGCCTAATATGTGACCTATTCTCGTGAATGTTCCCTGTACCCTGAAAAGATTGTGTGTTCTGTTATTTTGGATGGAATGTTTTGTATATATCTTTAAGTCCACCTGGTCTAATGTATTGTTCAAAGACACTGTTTCCTTATTAATTTTCTGCCTTGATGATCTATCCATTGATACAAGTGGGGTGTTAAAGTCCCCTACTATTATTATATTACTGTCAGTTTATCCCTTTTAATATTTGTCTTATTTAGGTGCTCTAATATTGGCGCATAGATATTTGCAGTTATCATTTATCATTATGCAATTTGTCATTAGTCCTTTGTCATTATGTAATGCCCCTCTTTGTTCTTTGTTACAGTCTTTGTTTTAAAGTCTGTTTTTTGTTTATTTGTTTTGCTTTCATTTGCTTGGAATATTAATTTTTTATCCCTTCACTTTCAATCTGTATGTATCTTTAGGTCTGAAATGAGTCTTTTGTAGGCAGCATATAGAAGGGTCTTGTTTTTTAAATCCACTCCATTATCCTGTGTCTTTTTGTTGGAGTATTTAGACCATTTACATACAGTTTTGTAAGTATATACTTACTACCATTTTGTTAATTGTTTTCTGGTTGTTTTTGTAGTTTTTTTTATTCCTTTTTCTCTTGCTCTTTCCTTGTGATGAGGACTTTCTTCAGTGTCATACTTGGCTTTCTTTCTCTTTATTTTTTGTTTATCTATTATAGGTTTTTGGTTTGTGGTTACCATGAGGTCTGTAAATAACATCCTAAGAATATAGTAGTCTATAATAATTTCATGGTCAGTTAAATACAAACACATTTTTTAAATTTTTTAAATTTTTTTTAATTTTTTTTTTTAACGTTTATTTATTTTTGAGACAGAGAGAGACAGAGCATGAACGGGTGAGGGTCAGAGAGAGAGACACACACACAGAATCCGAAACAAGCTCCAGGCTCCGAGCTGTCAGCACAGAGCCCGATGCGGGGCTCGAACTCATGGACCATGAGATCAGGACCTGAGCCAAAGTCAGACGCCCAACCAACCGAGCCACCCAGACGCCTTGAATACAAACACATTTTATAAAAGAACTTCATTTTTTATTCCCCCCTCCCCATTTTACGTATATGTTTTTATATTTTACATCTTTTTATTCTGTGAGTCCTCTTAACTAATTAAGATACTATTGATTTTACTACTTTAACGTCTTTTAGAAGGCTAGTTTAGTGGTGATCAACTCCTTTAACTTTTGTTTGTCTCTCCTTCAATTCTGAATGATAGTCTTGCTGGCTAGAGTATTCTTGGTTGTAGGTTTTTTTCCTTTCAGTACTTTGAATATATCATGCCACTCTCTTCTAGCATGCAAAATTTCTGCTGAAAAATCAGCTGATAGCTTGTGGTATTTCCTTTGTGTGTAACCATTTTCACTTCTATTGCTGCTTTTAAAATTCTCTATCTTTAACCTTTGACATTTTAATTATTATATGTCATTGTGTGGATCTCCTTGGGTTTATCTTGTTAAGCATTCTGTATGATTCCTGAACCTGGATGCCTGTTTCCTTCCCCAGTTTAGGGAAGTTTTCAACTCTTATTTCTTCAAATAAGCTTTCTGCCCTTTTTCTCTCTCTTCTCCTTTGGGGACCCCTATAATGCAAATGTTTGTTCACTTGATGTTGCCCAAGAGATCCTTTAACCTATCTTCATTTTTTGTTTGTTTGTTTTTTCTTTTTGCTATTCATCTTAGGTGCTTTCCATTAACCTGTCTTCTAGATTACTGATCCATTCTTCTGCATCCTCTACTGTTGATTCCCTCTAGTTTTTGTAGTCTTCGACTCTGATTTTTTTTTTTTTTTTTTGTATTTTCTGTCTCTGTTGTAGCCCTCACTGAGTTCTTCCACTCTTCTCTCCAGTCCAGTGAGCATTTTTATGACCATTACTTTGAACTCTTTATGAGGCATATTGCTTATCTCCAGTTACAAATGGATTTCATATAAAAAAAAATCTTTAATTTGTAAAATCTTTAGATGGGGAAAAAAGTTCCTTGTTTAACAGATTAGACTCTCCTGTAAGACTATGAAAGGACATATAACTTCAACTTCCAGCTCTAAAAAAAAGGTTAAAGGGTAAAAAGAGGTAAGAGAATTATTCTGCTTGAGATTAAGTGGCATAATGTAATAATATCTAGAGAGAGAAAATTCCTTAGCTTTCTTAAAATTAGAGAGGCTTCTTGTTCTATTTTCGTCATCATCCTCCCACAGTCTGTTCCCCTTGTGCATTCAGAGTTTACTGGGCAGGTAGGAGTTAAGACATGAGATAAAGAAATTCAGGTATTAACAAAAGTATCACAGTAGCTGGTGTTAATAATATGCTTTGGCAGTTCCCATTTTCTTGGTTCTCTACCCCACAGTTCTCAGCTCCTGACTGAATAGTCATGGTTTACCTTGCAGAATTAGCAGCAGCAAATATGTAGAGCAGCTAGAGAAAAGTTGTGTTACCAAAAGTTCTCAGGGTAACGTAAGTGACTAGCTTAATAACCACCACTTTCCTGTAACCTGGATTCTAACCTTTCACTTTATTTTTAAAGAGAATCATGGAAGTTCTTGGTAGCTTGTATTCTAATTAGCCCTGATGACTATGAATCTGATCTAACATAATGATTACTCCTAGAGAAGAACCATCAGTATTACAGGTAGCAGCAAGAAGGACCTGGGTAATGCCAAGAGTCAGAACCATTGAAAGTGTTATGTAGTTAACTCTTTAGATGAATAATAAATAAATGGAGCAACAGACACCAATGGGAACTTGAAGATTTGCTTTATGGAGGGAAACGTTAGAAAAAGTCAGTTTCTAAAAAGAATTTTAGTTCATTTTACTCACAGATTAATTGAAAATAGTAAGTTTATTTAAATGACTGCCAATGTCAGAGCCTTTCCTTACAGTGAATATAAGCAATTATTACTAAATTTTTGGAAAGTGAACAAAGATGGTAGATACCATTAAGAGTACATTTTTCCCATCTTTAAATTACAGCATTTTAATTTTAAAATTATAATTATTTATTAATGCTGTGAGTGCTATTTTATATTCTAGATTGGAGATTAGAGATTAATTTATTAATAATTGTTTTTATTTTTAGGAATTACATTTTTCTATTTATATTTTTGTTATAATGAAATAACCATGACAGATATTAGGAGGTATAGGACTTTGATGTTTGGAACCTTTGTTTATTTATATAACCACTTTATTATTTGGCCTCTATAATCATTGCTAATTCTTTTCCCCTACCAAACTCATCAAAATTTCTAGGTATTCAGATTTGAGAACAACACATTTCCCTGCTCAGCATGTCAGTATATACTGTTAAAGAAAAGTGAATACAGTTTGTTAATATGTAATCATCAGTTCATTTTATATAGGTTACTGAATAAGTTATAAATTAGTAATAGATTCAGTCATTCCTGAACCATCAGATTTTGAATCAATGACTTTGAGGGGTAGACTGGATCTCACTATTAGTTCTTTATGTACCATCTAATGAAATGGGATTACTACCACATCAAAGAATTTAAAAATAGGAGTTCCTTTAGTTTGAACCACAAGTTTTCATTTTTGTCTTTTGTGTTCTGCTGAGTAAGACAGTATGTATATAAGATTTTAGGGAGGCAAACTAGTACCTTAGAAGTATATAAATCTAGTTTTATCTAAACAATCAAAAGAAAAATAAATAAATTAGAGTTCATCAAATTAAAAACATATGTGTCAAAGGACACTATTAAAGTGAAAAGACAACCCACAGATTGGAAGAAAATATTTTTATAAATCTTATAACTGATAAGAGTCTAGTATCCAGAGTATATAAAAAATTCTTACAACTTAACAACAAAAAACATAAATAACCTAACTAAAAAATAGACAAATGACTGGACTAGTCATTTCTTCAAAGAAAAGATATATAGGGGTGCCTGGATGGCTCAGTCGGTTAAGCGTCCAACTTCTTCCTAGGTCATGATCTTGCAATTTGTGAGTTCAAGCCCCACGTCGGGCTCTGTGCTGACAGCTCGGAGCCTGGAGTGTGCTTCAGATTTCTGTGTCCCCCTCTCTCTCTGCTCCTCCCCTGCTCATGCTCTGTGTCTGTCTCTCAAAAATAAATAAATGTAAAAAAAATTTTTTTTAAAGAAAAGATATATATATATGTATATAAATGATCAATAAATACATGAAAAGATGCTCAACTTCATTAGTAATTATGAAAATTAAAATTAAAACCACAATGAGATACTAGTTTATGCTCACTAGAATGACAGTACTTAAAAAAACAACAGGAAATAAGTGTTGGGGAGGATGTGAAGAAATTGGAACCCTCAGACTTACCTGGGAATATATAATATTGCAGCCACTATGGAAAACAGTTGGGCAGTTCTCAAAACATTAGACTTGGAGATACCATATAGCCCAGTGATTCAATTACTAGCTATATACCCCAGATAATTGAAAACATGTTCATATATTAAAAAAAAAAACAAAAAAAACTTGTACATAAATATTCAGCAGCATTATTCTTAGTAACCAAAAAGTAGAAACAGCCCAGAATGCACTGTCTGCCCTTGGAAGCTACTGATGATTTACAGAATTTTGAGAATTCTTACTAATAACCCCAAGTCTGGGGAGAAGCAAATTCAATGAGTACTCTTATCTTCTCATTCTTTTCAGTAAGGAAAAAATGAGTAAAACAAAAAGGTTTTTTTTTTTTTTTCTTTTTTTTTAAAAGGTCTAATCTGTGGTACAAGTCTCCAGGAATACACTGAATCAGAGAACACAGGGAAACCATCCCATGTGAATGGGTTACTCAACCCCCCAACTAGGTAGATGTGCACTTAACAAAAAGTCAGAATTAAGAACCTGGATGTTCCAAGGAAACACAACAGGTTAATCTTACTAATATAGGCAAGCATTCTAAAAAGATATTAGTATGTTCAGTCATATAAAATGATAACATATAAAAGTGAGTAAGGTAGCTTTATTTCAGGAATGTCATTCTTGAGTTGAACACTAAAATAATTTAAAGGGAAAAAAAATCACATGATTATCTCAATAGATATAGCATATAACCAATAGAAGAAAGTCAGAAAGTCACCTATGTTAAATCAGAGCAAGTAAAAGATCTAGGCAGGATTGTAAGATAAAAATAAAAGCAGAGGCACCTGGGTGGCTCAGTCGGTTAAGCGTCCAATTTCAGCTCAGGTCATTATCTCACAGTTCATGAGTTTGAGCCCTGCACTGAGCTCCTACACCAACAGTGCAGAATCTGCTTAGGATTCTCTCTCTGCCTGTCCCCCACTTACATATGCGCGTGTGTGCTTTCTCTCTTTCTCTCTCTCTCTCAAAATAATAAGCGTAAAAAAAAACAAAAAAAAAAGCATAACTGTGCAAACATACTACAGCAAACTAATGAACTAACAAAAAAAAAAAAAAAAAGAAATAGCATGTAGAAGATGAAGACCTATGACCTAAAAGACAGAAGGAAATACATGTACTTCAAGTGCTAGACCTTAATAAAAACAAAAAATGAAAAAAATGAGAGCTCAAAGACAGGATGATAATTCAACAGATTAAAGGTGAATTGCAGGGGCACCTTGGTGGCTCAATTGGTTAAGCATTTGTTCAACGTAGGCTCAGGTTTTGATCTCATGGTTCATGAGTTCCAGCCCTACGTCAGGCTCTATGCAGGCAGCTCATAACCTGGAGCCTACTTCAGTTTCTGTTTCTCCTCTCTCTCTTTGCTCCCAGGGATCCCTCCCTCTCTCTCTGTCTCAAAAATAAAATAAACATTAAAAAAAAAAAAAAAAACAACTTACTGTGTGAGCACCTGTGTGGCTCGATTGGTTAAGCATCTCACTTCAGCTCAGGCCATGACCTTGGGGTTCATGGGTTCGAACCCCACTTTGGGCTGTCAGCATGGAGCCTGCTTGGGATCCTCTGTCTCCCTCTTTCTCTGTCCCTCCCTTACTTGTGCATGCTCGCCCCACTCCCCCAAAAGTAAATAAACATTAAAAAAAAAATTGTTTTTAACTTCTCTTATGGTAAAGAAACATTTAATGTACTCTTTAGTTTCACTTCTTTTTTCCTTTGTTAAATTCTAGTTAACTTAAAATTTAATGCTTTTATTTAAAAAATAGTATCCTATCTTTCTAAAGGTATTACTGTTGCTCTATATACACAGAAGGAAAAGTAGGTAGGTAGATAATAAGCTAGATGTCTGGAATAATGTTAACTTAGTAGTAATGACAGTTTCTGGCTGGTGGGACTTGAGATGTGTATGTATCAGTCAGTGTCTAGCCAGGCCATATCAGTTGTTTTTAACAGAAAGAATTTAGTAAAAAGGTATTGTTAATAGACATTAAACTGAAGTGGCAAAAATAGGCTACTAAAGTTTTCACAGAGATATCAACTATGGGAAACAGCTACCATTCCTAAGGCTGTGGGACAAAGGAAAGAAGTTGAAATTATTAGGATATATAAATTCACAGGAGAGGTCCTGTGGAGGTTAAATCTGAGAATCTGAGAATGGGGGTACTGCTTAGGCTAGTTAATGCCTCTGGACTTGGAATGTGGACCCTGTGGGCCTAAGACTCAAATACCTGGTGCTGATGTCTCTGAGGAGGGCACAACAGGGCTGTTTGGGATAATAAGTGAGGTAAAAAAAAAATGTTATTTTGTTCCAGGTGGCTAGCCAGAATAGGGAATACTCTACCCACTTTTTAGAAATCTTCCTCTATGTCTCTCAGTGTAGGACTTTTGAAAGTTTTTATTCATACTGATCTTGTACATTTTTAGAATTTATTGCTACCCATTTTGGTTTAGTTTTGTTCCTATAAATGAAGCATTTCTTCTGCTGTATCTTTTGACTGGTTTTAGTTTGTACATAAGAAAGCTTTTTAATATTAAATATTAATTTAACATCCAGAATCCTTACTGAATTTTGTTGTTTGTCAGTTTTCTACCTTCACAGTATTTAAACTTCTCTAAATAGCTCTTACAGAAATCTGTTTTGCATTTTGTTTAGGTGGTTGAACTATGTCCAACATACTGATTTCTCTTTATTGCTAAGTACCATTGCTTTTCCTGAACTATTATTGTAAAATAGTGGTCTCCCTGCTTTTTCCCCTGTCCCATCTCTAATTCATTCTGAACACAATTGCTAATATAATATTTTTAAAACTTAAATCATATCACTTTCCTACTCAAAACCTTTAAATGATCATCCATTGTTCTTCAGATAAAATTCAGGTTCCTTAGCATAAGCTACAAGGCTCTGTGTCTTAGTCTGCATGGTCTACAAGAACAAAAATCATAGACTGGGTGGCTTAAACAACAGAAATTAATTTTCTCACAGTTTGGCGGCTGGGAAGTCCAAGATCAAGGTGCTAGCCAGTTCACTTCCTGATGAGTGCTCTCTCTCATTTGCAGATGCCCACCGTCTTGCCCATATCCTTACATGGTCTTTCCTGTATTTGTACTTCATAGGGGGTCTGCAAGCATACTCTTCTTTCTCTTAAGGCCAGTAATCCCATCATAAGGGCCTGATCCTCATGACTGGATGTAACCTTCATTACCTTCCAACTGCCCTATGTCTAAACATCATCATATTGTGCATTAGGGCTTCAAAATAAGAATTTTAGTGGGACACAGTCTACTCTGCTTTAAAATGATCTGGACCCTGCCTGTCTCTAACCTTTTCTATTGGCACTCTCCAGAGTCCCTTAACACGCTGGCCTCTTTTAAATTTCCCAAACACATCAAGCTTCTTTTTACTTAAGAATCTTGACACATGCTGTTCTCTGCCTAGAGGCTCTTCCTTAGGCTCTTTACTCAGAGATTTGTTTTCCTCCTTTAGGTCCCCGTTTAAATACCCCTTTCTCAGAATCCACATATGTGAGCAGGTCTCCTCTAATTGTCTGTCACCTCACTGAACTTATTTATTAACCTATTACAAATGTGTATCTATATATGTATGTACATAACTTTATTCTTCTGTCTACTTTTTAAATGACCCAGAATCCTCCATAATAAAAAATGTTTTTCTAATGGAAAAAAAAAATCTGTTGATAAACTTTAACTTCTTGAATTCAGTCAACCTTTTGCTTTTGCTTGATCATACACTGTTGAGAAAATAATACTCATGTGCATTGTACTTCAGCAATACCTTTAAGAATTAAAAGGCCACATTCCTTTAATGCCTTAATTCCAGTTCTAGGAATGATTTGTACATGTATTTTAAGACATTTATACATGGATTTTCATTGCAGACAGCAAAGGTTTGGAGAAACCTAAATATCCATCAATGGGGAGGGGGTAGTTCAATGAATTAGATTATAATCATACTATGAAATACTACTGAGTTATTAGGGGATGGAGCTGTTCAGTATGTAATGATATGGAATGATTTCCAAGTAGAAAGAAAATATACAGTGGCATTGTGTATAGAGCGTCTGCCATCGTGTGTGTACACCCCACAAAAGGTTCTATATTGGAATTTTATCTAGATTGTCTTTTGAAAGATACAGCAGAAACTAGTGGCTGCTTTCAGGGATAGGAAACCAGATGACTAAAGATTCAAGGGTGGCATGGAGACTTTCTTTCTCAATGAAAGAGTAGTAAAAAAATACCATGGGAGTAGAGATGAATGACTGTTTCTGACTGAAATTATGGGGAAGACTTTTTGAAAAGCAAAGATATTTTTTAAAAACTTAGTATCGCTTTTATCTAACAAAAACAGAACTCATATTAACAGGTAATTATGATAGTTATTGCTGTGAGGGATATAAAATGATTTCAGTTACAAGTGGAAATGTTATCTGGATTTTATTTGCTTTTAGGTGGTGATAGTGGACTGGATGGGTTAGGAGGACCAGGTGTACAACTAGGAAGCCCAGATAAGAAAAAACGCAAGACAAATACACAGGTAAATTGACATTTTCTTTGATAACCATTTTTGTTCACTGATACGATCAGGCTAATGAGGTAAATTTAAATTTGGTCATGGATTTTTTCCCCCTCCTCATTTGTAACCTAATATTGAATTCTGCAGTGATTTTTTTTTTTTAATTCTGTAACTAGTGGCTATGGTTGGCCTATAGGTCTAGAGTGGATATTGCAAGAGGGAAGTGTAGGCAGACAAATTAAAATGTTTATTCTTAAAACTAACTTAAACAGCACAGATGCCTGTAGTTTTAGTAAAAGATTTAAAATATATGAACATAGGTTTAGCATTAAGCAATATTTAGCTGTTATAATAATTTAGTAGTATGTACGTATCATTGAGCAGTCATGGGGGAGGCATCTTTTGTGTACAACATGTGGTTGAATAAATAGTTATCAAAACAGGCTTTTGTGGCTTTATCTTCTGTAAATTTGAAGCACTCTTTTTATTCTAAAGACTGCAAGTAAGTATTTTGTGTGTAAGGATTATTTTTTTCCATTTTGGCCACCACCTCTTAAAATTACAGTGTGACTAAAACTGGAAGTTTATTTTTCCATTCTGAGGCCGAGAGCATAGTGCTTGGGGAATACTTTAATAGCTACTCCCTGAAGTTAAGCCAGTAAAATAACTTAGAGCCTGTTTATTGTTACTTAATTTTATGGTTTTTTGGGGGGTGTAACAGGTACTTTTAGTTAGAATTTTAAGTGAAAAATTCTAGAACTAAAGTTAAGCATATTAAATGCAAATTATGTAATTAAGCTTCTTTTGAAGGTTAATAAATACCTTTGAAATTTGAAGTAACAATGAATTTGAGCTCAGAAAAGCATGCCTTATTTTCTTTCCTAAATGGAAGAAATCTATACATTTTAATCATTAAATATAAAACTTATTTGGAATTGAAAAGTCAGATGAATTAAATTTTTATAAGACATAGCAAGAAAATTTTGATTAAAACTAGGTTCTTACATGTTAAGATAACAATTTTAATGACTTCTTTGCTCAAAACATGTATTTTACTCTACATTCTCATTTCAGGGGCCTTCTTTTCCTCCATTGTCTGAGTATGCTCCACCACCGAATCCAAACTCTGACCATCTAGTGGCTGCTAATCCATTTGATGACAACTATAATACTATTTCCTATAAACCACTACCTTCATCAAATCCATATCTTGGCCCTGGTTATCCTGGCTTTGGAGGCTATAGCACATTCAGAATGCCACCTCACGTTCCTCCAAGAATGTCTTCCCCATACTGTGGTCCTTACTCACTCAGGAATCAGCCACACCCATTTCCTCAGAATCCTTTGGGCATGGGTTTTAATCGACCTCATGCTTTTAACTTTGGGCCACATGATAATTCAAGCTTTGGAAATCCATCTTATAATAATGCACTAAGTCAGAATGTTAACATGCCTAATCAACATTTTAGACAAAATCCTGCTGAAAACTTCAATCAGATTCCTCCACAGAATACTAACCAAGTATCTAACCCTGACTTGGCATCTAACTTTGTCCCTGGAAATAATTCAAATTTTACTTCTCCATTAGAATCTAATCATTCTTTTATTCCTCCCCCAAACACTTTTGGTCAAGCAAAAGCACCACCCCAAAAACAAGACTTTAGTCAAGGAGCAACCAAAAACACTAATCAAAATTCCTCTGCTCATCCACCTCACTTAAATATGGATGACACAGTGAATCAGAGTAATATTGAATTAAAAAATGTTAATCGAAACAGTGCAGTAAATCAAGAGAATAGCCGTTCCAGTACCACAGAAGCTACAAATAACAGCCATGCAAATGGGACGCAGAATAAGCCGCGACAACCTAGAGGTGCCCCAGATGCATGCACCACTGAAAAAAGCAATAAATCCTCTCTCCACCCAAGCCGTCATGGCCATTCTTCTTCTGACCCAGTGTATCCTTGTGGAATTTGTACAAATGAAGTGAATGATGATCAGGATGCCATCTTATGTGAAGCCTCTTGTCAGAAATGGTTTCATCGGATCTGCACTGGAATGACTGAAACAGCTTATGGCCTCCTAACTGCAGAAGCATCAGCAGTATGGGGCTGTGATACCTGTATGGCTGACAAAGATGTCCAGTTAATGCGTACTCGAGAAACTTTTGGTCCGCCTGCAGTGGGCAGTGATGCTTAATCACAGGCATTAGTTAAAGTGATTTTTTTTCCTGTGTATTTCAGAGGCTCAGTGACACAGGATTTTAATGTTTTACATTATTTTTTTAAATGCACATACAAAAAGATTATTTACCTTTCAGTTTTTGTTAATATTCTACTTCATTACCAGTGCAAATTTTGTATTGTCTTTGTTTGCTATCTTAAATGAGAATAATGTATATGGGGGTGCTTTAGAAAGTACTATACAAATAAATGTTAGTTGTCGTTGTTGTTGTTAATCATAAACATAAAAGCCTCTTGAAGCTTCAAAATAATATATAGCAAATGTAGGCAAGTTTTGACTTTTAAAAGTTAGAATCATTGAAAAATGTACATTGCAGAGCTGAACTTTGGCAATATTACATTAAACAGTTCAAAAAATTTTTCAAGGATCTATTTGACATATGTTTTCAAAAAAGCATATGTAGCTGTAACATGGAAGAAAGCATACATTTTAATGGATGTTTTAAAAAATAATAGAGTATGACACCAGATTTCTCCCCACTAGGGTCCTTGAAATTAATGACTTTCCTATTTTCAAGTCAGTCTTTCCAAGATATCTGTTTGTACAGATAGGAGACAGATGTTAGCATATAGTAGATGCTCAGTAAGTATTTGTTGATTGACTTGTGGATTGTACCACATGAAATTGCTAATACTAGATCAGTTGAAAATTGACTGCAATTAGTAGAGTTGAAGTGAAGTATGTTTCTAGTTGTGCTATTTAGAATTATAACAGTGTTATGCCCTTCACTCTTCAATTTCCTTTGATTATTGAGTTTTTTCTTATTGTTTTCCAGACAAATAAATAATATAGTATCCTCAGAAGAATTATGGATACTTCTTTTAATATGATTTCAAGCCAGGACAATACTGCAAATGAGATAGGTGTAAATATCAAGTTGGGCCTACAAGGCTCCGCTGGGGAAAGAACACCACTCAGTGGTGGTTTGAAAAATCTTGTTCTGGGGAATCTGGATTCAAAAATGAGCCTCAGGGGAGATCAGAATCCATCTTAAAGACCAATTAAGAGCCAGGGTGAGAGCTAACTCACAAACAACAATTCAAGGCCTTGAAGCAGACAGGAGCTTCTGCTGTGACTGGGAAAGGTGAAAAGATGAATCCAAGAACATCCTCCTGGGAGATGATCAAGAATGAAGACATTTGGAGGTGTGCTCATTAAGATTCAAAAAAGCAGAAACATATTTTTAGAGTGGATCATGAACTGTGACCAAAAAAAAAAAAAAAAAAAAAAAAAGATACTATATATGACAATTGATAGCAATATATACAATATTTGGATATTTTTGAAGCTCCCAAACTTGCACCATCATCATTGTGACCAAAAATGTTCTGAAGGCCATATGGTGATCTGCAAAAGAATAATTACTATTGCTTAAACCCTGGTGAAACGACAGCAGCAGCATATTGCTGAGGAAGTAAAATTATGCATGAAAATTTTGATCAAGAAAGGTCCTTTGGTTAATAAACATGAGCCCACACTTTTACATGACAGCACTTGACCTCACACGTCACAAGCCACGAAAGCAAAGTTAATTCAATTGGGATATTCAATGTCGTCATGTCCATTGTAGTCACCAGACCTTTATCCAATGAACTACCTTCGTTTTCATCATTTGAAGCTTTTTTTTAAGAAACAACATGTTCTCCAATTAAGAAGTAGTAATTGGAGGATCTGAACAATTTATATATCTGAAAAAATGACAAATTTTTTAAAAATGAAATATTTAATATCTTACTAGAAAGTTATTAATACTCATACATATTTTGATTGAATAAAACTTATTTTTTTAAATACAGTGTTTTAATTTTGACCTACAAAAACAGCAATTTCATATGGTACAAAGTAGTAGAAGGTTTTCTCCATTTACCTGTGACTAGTTAGAGGTGAGTACAAAATATTTTCAATATAGTTGTAAAATATATATCTTTACAGTTTTAGAAAATGAAATGATATAAATTCTAATACTAGGTACTCCTCTGTGTGACATCTTTACCAGTTGAAGCAGGTTAAATGCAGTATTTTTGGCTGACTCTGACATTTGATGTGTTCAGTAGCATACTTGAAAATCCCATTTTGCTTACATTATAGTTTTTATTAGAGATACACAATTTTTTAAATGTTTAAGGATCTAGTCATGTTCTTGAAATCCTAGTAAGTGCTGATTTTTAAGAAATGATGCACTGCATGCTAAATGCTTATTCCTAGCATCGGGTCATGATTTTTTATGATAATACAGTTAGATATTGAGTAGAACCTTACAGTGTCCTCAGGAGTTAACATTTTTCATGGTAGTACTTGAGTTGTACTTATTGTTAAAATTGATTTTGTGGTTTCTTAAGCCATCTGTTGCTTACACTTTCAGTAGTTGGGTGAAAGTGAAGTAACCTCTCCCAAGCTAGTATAAAGATACTTGATTCGTATTGAGATTCTTTTCCATTTCCAAGTAGTTGTTTTTAAAAACTTACAGTTGAATTTTTATTCAAGTATTTAGGTCTTCAGAGCACCTTATTTAAATAAGAATCTGTAAATATTCAAAAGAAAACTCATGGTTGACTGACAGTGAGTCACTGAAAAACTATAAAATCATAGTTCATGAATGTTTTCATGTCTTTGAAGTACTTTTCTTTACTAGTTCCACATTTGTCTCCATATGACACTAAGTCAAAAATTATCTAGACAGTTTTTGATAGGAAAAATGATGAACTATAAAATGGCCAGGTACCAATTTGTCCAATTTGACCCAAATAAGGCTATTAAACAAATTGTTACGGCTTTGTTAGGACAAGTGATGAGCTTCCCTAAACATTTTTAAATATTCATTGATAGAAAGAAATGTACATAGGTCGAATAGCCTTCCAGTAGCATTGCACATTTTTTTATGTAATCCTTTTCTTTCACTGAAAGGCCTCATCTTGCATGCACACATATACACAGATACACACCCACATACACACCCACACAATTGAACAGGAAATCATAGTTTCTCTTACATTCTCAAGTTTTGTCTAGTTTAACCTGACTGACCCTCAGCAACTAGGCTCTCTCATGACAGCTAGTCATGATAGTTTTAATGCATCAGCTCTTTTCTCAGAACTCACTTTTTATTCATTTCACTGCTTCTAGATGCTACTGGACTCACTAATGCTGAAACGGCTTAGCTTGTAAAAGAAAATTTATTCTTCAGATAGAGTGCTTAGAATTAGATTTGTGATCAGTGTTTTTTTCCTTTGGTGTGAAATACTTTTAGAGTACTGCTATTATGACTCTTGTTAATCCAAATTAGATTATGTACATAAAGCAAGATTTTCTTGTAATAGTGCTTATTCTTCTTAGAGTAACAATATAAAAAAATCCAATCTTTTTTTTTTTTTTTTTTTTTTTTTTCTTTAGACTCCCATCTCTGCCTACTGGTAGGGAAAAAACCTCAATAGTGTGGGTCACCATGAATTCTGCTAACTTTAATCATCCAAATAAGTATCAGGAGTCTTCATCTAGTATTCTTTCAAACTTGTTTGTCTTGAACATATTAAGAGTGCTAGTACTTATTGTCCATACTATAGTAATTGTATTTAATAGTAAAAAAAAAAAAAATATGTAAGTAATGGTTTTTTTAAGGGAGCTCTAAAGAATTTTTGAGTTTCTTTCTTTTTTATAGTGTATAGAGGTTTCATATGCATGAACATTTGTGCTATTTTAGATTTTTTTTTAATTAAAAAGTTCAGTTAAGAGCATCCAGGCTCCCAAAGTTCATTTGTAAATAGTGGTTTGGAACATTATATAAGATGATTAGATTGTTAGGAAAGCTCATAAAGGCTTATTTAAACCATAATGTAGTTAAGCGATAGTATCATGCTGAACACTCAGTTTTCTTTAGGGAACCAATCAGTGTAGGAGGTAGAAAGAAACAGAGGTCTTCCTTTTTCCTGATGTGATTCAGGTAAGTTTAGTTTCTTGGTGTTAGTGTTTCCTAGTTGCCCTCTTACATCCTAAACCCTCCGGTGGAATGCTATATAAGCCAGCTTGCCTCTTCCCTTACTGGATGCCCTGTGCTCCAAAATTCCATATTTTTCCTCCAATCAAAATTCCCATTTCTTTCTGTGGTTATGGCTGGCTAGATTTTAAGGAAAAAGTGTTTTCCACCGAGATGCAAATGAAGATAGTGAAGAAAGTGGGATTAAACATTTTTTTTAAGACTGCTTATTCAGAATGAAGTTTTATCTAATAGCTAAGATTTCAGACAATATGACCACATTTCAAGTACTGTAGGAAGCAGTATTTTTATCAAATTGATGGATGCTGTCTTGAGAGTACTTCCCAATTTCCTTTAGGTTTTTGGATATTTTCATAGTTTCCTCAACTTTTGAACTCAGAGGTTTCTTCTCATTTCCACATTTTAGTAACTTCCCCCTTTTCTGTATTCTCTTTATCCAGTAGAGCAGTATAGAAGTCACATCTGCATTTTTCCAACTTTTGGTACAGTAGTGGAAGTCTAGAGGTACTCCTGGAGTAAGGAGGCTAAGGCTGGCATTAACAGCTCCTAAGACATATGGTCTAGGGGAAATGAAAAATGGCTGTCAATAAGCCAGACATGAATACGTCAGAGGCTGCCTGTATTTCATTGAAAATTTTTAATGAAAACCTGAGATAAGCTTCATCTTTGTCAGTTTGTCAAAATACATTACTTGCAATTATATTAAAACTTATTCTAAATACCTGTACTTTTCTTGTTCTGTAGATGATATAGATGATGTTGCTTGTTAGTTAAAATATCTTTTATAAAAGAAAGTCCTGCTTCTTATCATGATGTATGTGACTTAAATGACTGTTTCATATTAAAACTATTTCTTCCTTATGTACTGTTTACATATACCTCTTTTTGGGATATTAGTTCAGTACTTTTATACAAATCTGAGTGTGTTCCACATTGGTGACATGTATTTTTGCAGTAATTTTTT